TTTTGCGGTACGCGGGTCTCTCACTGCTGTGGCCCCTCCCATTGCGGAGCACAGGCTCCAGACGCGCAGGCCCAGCGGCCATGGCGCACGGGCCCAGCCGCTCCGCGGCATGTGGGATCCTCCCAGACCGGGGCACGAACCCGCGTCCCTTGCATAGGCAGGCAGACTCCCAACCACTGCGCCACCAGGGAAGCCCCACCCCCGCCTTTTTGAGCATGTGGAACTAAGACCTGAGAGATATAAGGAGAATTGTTCCAGGCTACTGAGCAAACTGGTGTTAGAGGCAGCTTTAGCACCCAGGCCTTCTGACATTCATAGAAATTAATTTAATTGCTTTTGCCTGAATAGCAGCTTTCAACTGTTCATATTGAGATACTAAATAGATTTTTTGTTTCCTGGCCCTCTTATGAATTTCATTGCCCCAGAGCTTAGATGACTTCCTTGAATTCCTCCACCATGTGAGTAAATGATGCAGACTTAGATATCTAGCAAAGTCGGCTCTGGTGGTGAAGTGAGGCAGGATCCTCTCTGGGACTTCCAAGCCCTTCACTGGCTTTCTGTCAAGCACTTTCCTCGTGAAATTACGTGGGGTCCTTCCTCCATTATAGTTGGTGGGAGAAAATGAGACCACCCTTGGATCACTCAGGTGCTAGGTGGGGTCAGTTTCCAAAGAGTCCCTTGGGACTGGACCTCTGGGAGCACTTGACACAGAGCTGTCTATCCTCTGGCAGCTAGTGATGGATGTTGGGCGGGACAGTGTGTTGTGATGGCCATCAGAGGTCCTGTCTCTTCACCAGGCATCTGAGATAGCACATCAGACTAAGGATGGGCATCCAGCCACGTGCTGGGGGAGAGCCCCTTATAGGCAGCTGGTTGTGCCAGTCTGCTAAGTGTCAGAAGGATTTTTATTGGTAATTTTTAACGTTCGTGAGCCTTTTCTTTCTTACTTGATTGTGGATTCTTGGAGGAAGTTGACTCTCTCATTATGATATTCCATCACTGCAACTGGCAGTGTATTCAGTAGGTGTTTCCAGATTTAGGCAGGGCGTCAGGATGTATGTTTACGGCTTGGTGCTACCTGGCTGTAGCAGAGCAGGTCCCTTCATCTTTTGGGGGAACGATTCTTCATCTGTGAAATGAGTAGTTTGGAGTGACCTCCGAAGGCTCTTTTAGCAACCGTCTCTAGGATCCTGGGAGCTTACACAGCTCTCAAAATGTATCCTTATAGTGTATCTTAGCCAAGCCCTTGTATTTCTCTTTTCTGGTGTATAATTATTAAAAATTCCACTCATGGGACACCACCCTCACCATCCTTCCTCAGCACACAATAGGCAGGGTTTATTCTTTCACCAGCTTTTGAAAAATTGGCAAAAAAGGAGAAGGGTTGTGGCGGGGAGATGTTGCTACAAGGGCCAGTGGTGAGCACCTCTCATGCTTCTGGTCATCCTTTGTGCTGCTTTCAGCTGCCATTTCTCAGTATGCAGGCTGGTTGCAAGAAAAGAGTCCTAGGATGAGGGAATGAGCACCACTGGTGACCTCCAAAGAGTGTAGGACATACCAGAAGTCACGGCAGAGAGAAAGAGAAGGTCATCTGTGGCTCTGGGGCCTGGTGGCGAGTTTGAGCAGAATTCGATGATGTAGAAGGGATTTCTGGAATGCAGGAGAGGCTCTTTCTGGATTGAATGCAGAGGAAAAATAGAATACAGCTAGGAATATTTAGGTTCCCATCCTCTGAGAGCTTGCTCTTGGGGAAGATGGATGTAGATACAATGTCAGTATTGTTCAGGGTCCAAGAAATTAGCTCAAAGGAAGGAGTTGTTAATCCCAACCTAAGGAATGGGAAAGGCTGCCTAGAAGTGCCTGTCTGCATCTTCCCCCATCCCTCCCAAGCCGTGCCTCACCTTTGCTCTGTCCAGGTGTGCGGGCAAATTTAGAAACTTATGAGTGTGGCACCGACTAGATAGGTTGCGAGGGAGAAGCCAAGAGAGCTCAGCCCGCCCATGTGTACTTTGTACCTTTTTCATTTCTCTTGGTATCAGGCAACCTCACTGTACTTAATCCATAGTGCAGCTGTCACTGAGCTACTGTGGCAATGCCCCAGAGCCGACTCCAGGCTTGGAGCTAAAGGTCCCAGCCACTGGAGGTCTTAGCACTGCCCCTGTCCCCCCAGTTACCATGTCCACGCAGAGACTTCGGAACGAGGACTACCGTGACTACAGCTCCACCGACGTGAGCCCGGAAGAGAGTCCGTCCGAAGGCCTGAACAACTTCTCTTCGCCGGGATCCTACCAGCGGTTCGGAGGAAGCAACAGCACAACGTAAGTAGCTGTTCCTGTCTACCCTCCTGGGTGGGGTTTGTATTCCTAAATTCTGTATTAGTAACTAATCTCCATTAGAGTTATTTTTGCTCCCCTATTTTGTCAGTTCCCTACTTTACAGGTGAAAGTAAGAGATAAAAGAGATGGAGTGAGTAATGGTGCTGAGATTTGCACTTCTTGTCTGCCACTCTCTAGTCTGTTTCTTATTCTTTGTTCATTTCACCTGTGTGGTCCCAGAAGGCTGGTGCCGAGTAAGAGCCTGAACATCAGAAAAACTTCTAGAGAGAACATTCTCTTAATGTAGAACCATGAGTCGTCTGTGCTAGAACCTTAAATGCCTCCAAGTCCAATTGGAAGCCTCCTTTGCAAAGTCTCCCCCAGACTTCTGTCCCCATCACCAATCAACTGGGACATTTGGCGGAAGAAGTAGGAAGAGGGAGGCATAACTTCTCCTGCCCTTAAAAGATTCAAGGGGTTTTTAAAGGTGATCTGCTTTGCATGCCCTTGGGAGGGCTTAAGTCTTACCCCTGGAAACTGAATCCCAAGTCTCATCTGGGTGAGTGTGGCCCTCTATGGGCCTCAGTTTTTTCAAATGTAAGATAAAATTGAGGACCCCCCCCCGCCCCTTTGAAGCTATACCGACTCACCGTTCAAATGAAAAGATTCAGAGGAGGGTTTTCTACTCCATTGAGTTGTCTGGCTCAGTTCTGAAAGTCAGCAGAGCCCCGACATTTTCTCTGGACCCCAACATTCCATCTTTGGCAGCCCTTCTGTTTATCCCTCAAGCTTTACCGTCACCTGCTCTGTTCCCTTGTGGGTTGGGTGTGACTTAACTGAGGGATCCATTATGTCCTTGACTCACACTGTCCCACTGTGACTGCCCAAGGAGACCATGGAAGCTTCTCTTGGAGTTCATTACTGGTGAAGCTCTGCCTAGCTGCAATCTCTCCTAGTGCAGGGCATTTTCCCTAGTGAACTCAGAACTAGGGGAGATGGTCGGCCCACATTATAAGCCCCTCTCCACTTCTAGCTGATTTTCTGCTCATAAAGATTCAGTCTCCATAACTTCTTTCTCCTGTGGCATGCTATTTTAGATTCCCCCATTTGCTTGCAGTGTTAACTGATGGAAAATATTGCTTAGACCACAACTGGCAGCAGTGAGGACTGTCTTTCCTCTTTTTTCCCTAACCTTACCTACCTAATTGGCTTCCCCCAGGTGGAAGGAGTGTCAGATGCAGCCAATGACATTTGATAGCTTCCCTTCAGAAGTCCCTCTTGTTACTGTGAAATGCTTCTTCCAAGCTTCTCTCTCTCTAGTTTCCTTTCCAGTTTTTGCTCCTTGTTCTTAGGCATCAGCTTGTCTATGCAGTGCTTGCCGTATGGGGTCTAGATTTTCATTTTTATTTTTTCTTTCCTTTTTTTTGTCATTATTTTTTTTTTGGCCGCGAGGCTTGCGGGATCTTAGTTCCCCAGCTAGGGATTGAATCCGGGCTCTGGCAGTGAAAGCGTGGTGCCCTAACCACTGGACCGCCAGGGAATATGGAAAAAGTACATGGAACAAAGTACAAAGTATATGTACTTCGTTCCATGTACAAAAAGCATGTACACACCAGGCTCTTCTAAGCGTTTAGGGCTCAGTAAAAATCCCTAATCAGGGGTGCACATAGGAACCCCAGATGCTTCCACGATGATGTGTTTGGTGAGGGTATTTCCTAACACTTGAATGTTATCAAGCTGTCGACTGCTTTGATGACAGCCTCATTTTTTAGTGTTTTGGGCAAAGTTTTCTTGTTGCCCTATTGAGCTACATGATACTGCTCTTGATCAGGCTTTGATACTTTTTAACCAGGCTGGCAGGCTGAGAAACCAGTTGACTGAAACTGGTCTTCTGTAGGTTATCTGGAGCAGCCACTTGCAAAGTATGGTCTTCAGACCCTTTAGGGCTCCCAAGACCATTTTAAGAAGCCCACGAAGTCAAAACTGTTTTCATAATAATACTAAGATGTGATTTGTCTTTTCACTGTGTTGACATTTGCACTCATAGTTCAGAAGAAATGATGGGTAAAATTGCTGGCGCCTTAGTGTAAATCAAGGCGGTGGCACCAAATTATGCTTGTCATCGTATTTTTCACTGTCACACATATACATATACAAAGAATAAGCTGGTTTCACTTAAGCACATCCTTGATGAAGCAGTCAAATTACTAATTTTGTTAAATCTTCACCCTTCGATACAGGTCTTTTAATATTCTGTGTGACAGAGTGGAAAGTACACATGCAATATTTCTGCTGAGCAACTAACAAACTATAGGTCATTCAGACCTGAGTACTTGGCAGACATTTTCTTGAAAATGACAGTAATGAGACCGTCACCTCAAGAAAAACAATCAGTAGTATTTGTTGCCCACAATGAAATTTGAGCTTTCGAGCAAAATCAGAAAAAAAAAACTCGTATCCAGCACTGTGACCTTGACAGCTTCCCTCTGCTCAAAGACTTTTCTGATGAGATTAGGAATGATATTAATGAATGTGATTTTTTTTGATATCGTATAATGAAATGTGCCAGCATTTGGAAGATCCACATAGCTCAGGGAATCAGTATCTTCCCAGGTGACCAAAGGGCGATGTTAGAAAATTGTGCGTGGGTAAAAGATCCATCCAAGGAGCAAGGTTACCAGTGGGTTTTCATGTAATAGAGGATGAAAAGGTCAGATTCCACATTACAACTAACTTCTAAGAAACTACATGTGTCAAGTTTTGGTGTAGTATCAAAGAAAAACTATCACAATTGTCGGAAGAGGCTATTAAGATACATACTAACTACATGTCTGTGTGAGGACAGATTTTCTTCAGGTAATTCCACCAAAACAACATATCACAACAGCTTGAATGCAGAAGTAGATAGTCCAGCTGTCAAACAAGACATTAAAGAGATTTGCAAAGCAGTAAAATAGTGTCCTTCCTCTCACATTATACTTTTTGGAAAATAGAGTTACTTTTTGTTAAAAATTGGTTATTTTTATTAACATGTAATAGGTTTATTGTTATTTTAAATTAATAAATGTTTTAAAATTTCTTGGTTTAATTTATAATATAATATATGTCAGCAGACATAATCCATATAAGCAAAAACTGTTTGGGATCCTCAATAATTTATAAGTGTATAAAGGGGACCTAAGACCAAACAAGTATACAAGAACAGATTTGGAACGTAAAGAGACGACAGAGATTTGTGAGGCTTATTTCTCCCTCCCACCCCCCCACAGTTAAGACTCTGCAGTCCATGGAGTTGATTTTGTGATAGGTCATATGGGTTTGGGTAATCCCAGCTCATGGCCATTGATTAAAAAGCATGATTTTGGTCAGTTGCCTGGAATCCTGCTGTTTCAGAGCTGAAGTATGCTGTTCTGGTCCAGTCCCCTCACTCTACAGATGAGAGAACAGGCCCGGAGAAGGGAAGGGAGTTGCCATGTGGAGTTAATGGCAGAGCCAGGGCTGGAGGGACCTGATCTCCCATGAAACCCAGCTCAGAGGCATTTTGGAGAGGCCTCTGGTAGGCAGGTGGTCTTGATACAGTGCTTATTTTTGCCCTTAAGTGGATTAAACATTTGCCAAGATAGAAATTTGCTTAGTCCATCATCCTGTGCTTAATCTCCTGGTCACGGGCCACTGGTAATGAATGAGTCACCCCTGGACCCTTACAGTCCTTTAGTTTAATCCAGGAGAGCGCTTGCCTCTTCTCATTCAGACTAGAAGCAGTTTTCTTCATCTTGCCTGAGAAGCTTGGGAGACAGTACGAAGGTCAAGAGATTTTCTTCCTGGAGGTAGAGGGAGAAAGGTTACCGAAAGTAAAATTCCTTTCCAGAGAGTGTAGATGGGTCTTATTTATTATGGTCTTTACAAGTTAACACATGACTTGCTTTCAGTTTCTACTTAATTGCAGATTTGAAAAAATATGTGGAAGCATCATTTATGAGGTATTTAGGTTATTTGCACAGAAGAATTTCCAGACAGTGCCAGGGGCAAAATCCTGATTAAGTCTGTGGTACCATGTTTGATCTTTTCTGTGTCCTGCTGGAGTAACAGAGGATGGAAAATGCTAAAGATGAGGCCACTGACGTAAGTCCTTTGAGGAGCTCCTATTCTGTATGGAATGCCCATCCTCGCCCAACCTGAGCGGCCACAGAGCTGACGCACTTCTCTGTGCTCACACCTGTGTCTGGGCGAGTGTTCCCAGGCTCTTCTTCCCTGTTGGCACACACAGAGCCCTGCGTAGGGCCCAGCTGGGCTCGGCCCAGGTCTCTGCACGCTACAAACCCTCACCTCCCTGCCCCTCCCTGGGCACTGTTCCTAGACTCTTCCTAGGACAGGGATCTTTCTACCTTGGGTGGTTGTTAATGTGTCTGCCTTATCTCCTTGGAGACTTTTATTAGTTTCTAGAGACTGAGGTCTGTGTCTGGTTCGTGCTGATTTCCACCACTGCATTAACACAACATAGATGGTATTTGTTGAGTGAAAAAATAATGAGGACACTTGAGAGACTTTACAGTTGCAGCTTCAGGCGGACAGTCTGTACAACAGATGAGGGAAAACTGTGTCCTCAAGGCAGAAGGATCAACTAGGTGACTGTGTGAAGAGGGCTTCTCCAATCTTAGGCATTTGACTTTTTTTTTTTTAATAAAAGTACACCAGGGACTGCAGACCCCCACTGTCCCTCTGATCTAATCTCCAAGAGAGGTGGACTTTTCAGATGCTTCAGGGAACAGAGTTTATAGCCCAGTGACTAAGAGAGTGGGCTCAGGGGTTAGACAGCATCTAGGCTCACACTCAAGGTACATGGCCTTGAGCAAGTTGCGCCCTCATGCATAAGGTGAAGTTAATACCTATCTCATAGGGTTGTTCTGGAAATTGAATGAGATAACTCATGAAGGTGCTTAGCACAGTGCTAAGTGCTCAGTAAATGCTAGCTCTCATTATTATTAACATGCCCTTGTCTGCCTTCTTCCCACTTCAGATGGTTCCAGACCCTGATCCACCTATTAAAAGGCAACATTGGCACAGGACTCCTGGGGCTGCCTCTGGCCGTGAAAAATGCAGGCATCTTGGTAAGGGTCTGTGTCAGTGCAAGGAATTATTGTGACAAATTTTAGGAGACAGTGGTTTTATTTTAATTTACTTCATGGAAAACATTTTAAAATGGGAAGCTTTTCTTTTTCAAATTCAGTTGAGAAAAAGCAAAGTTCAGGTGTTCATTCATCTAAAGATATATATATATATATATTTTTTACATCTTTATTAGAGTATAATTGCTTTACAATGGTGTGTTAGTTTCTGCTTTATAACAAAGTGAGTCAGTTATATATATACATATCATCTAAAGGTATTTATTGAGGATCTTCTGTGTGCCAGGCACTGTTCTAGACTCTTAGAATATTATCAGTGAATAAAAACAGACAACGATTCCTTTCCTCATGGAGCTTACTTTGAGGCGAGGAGGAGGTACTTGAAAAGTTTCTGGCAGTTTCTATCAATAATATTAACTAATGAGTTAGTAGCAGAAGTCTGTCCATTTTCTACACTGTCCTTCCATGCCCTACCCTTAGATGGCCAACTCTGAGAATCTTATTTTTTTTCTTTCATGATTCTCCCCCTATAGGCTGCCTGTCCAAAGCCATTCTTGTTTCTTTTAAAGTTGGAGAAGCTTAGAGACAGGGATTGTCCTCCACTAAGGACGGTCTTGTGGCATTGCTCTAGAGAGAACTCTCCCCCTTCCACCACCCCTTAGCCTGTCTCTTCTTCCCAGGCAGTCCCAGGAGCCTTCTATTCTGCTAATTGGCAACAGTCTCGGAATAGCCTTATCTTGTGTCATTCCCCTCCGGGAGATTAATTCTCTAGAAGGCCTGCTGAGGTCCAGATGATGCCCGTCCTGCTCAGCTCACCTCTGTGAGCACATTTGTCTCTCGAAAGCTCTGCCGGAAGTTCTGTCATTGGAAGATTCCCTCGTAAAGTTTTCATCATTTGCAAATCCAGTTCTAATTCTGTCTGCTTGTCTCTCCCCGCTCTTACCCACAACGCCTGTCTGCAGATGGGTCCCCTCAGCCTGCTGGTGATAGGCCTCGTGGCTGTGCACTGCATGGGTATCCTGGTGAAGTGCGCTCACCACTTCTGCCACAGGTGAGAGCCCTCCGAGCCACTTCTCGAGTGACAGATTGTCCTTTGGGGTTCCATTGCCAACACTGAAAGTGAGCACTTAACACAGATCACTCTGGACTCTGTGCCGGCTGAAGGTGGCTGCTAGTCATCACAGCACTGCCTTTCCCTGGCGATTTTTGTGTTCTTTGTTAGCTTGTTGTCATCTGTCGCACTTTCTTATATCCAGTGGACAGAGACCACATTCTGGTTTTACGTGCTTTATAATATTTACCCCATTGAAAAGTTTTACCAGATGGTTGTTAATTATAAGGGAAGTAATCGTCCCATTAACATAAGACTTCAGCTCCTTGAAAGCATCAGACCCAGGACTCAGCGGTATGTCTAGGGTGGCTGATGGGGAACCGGCCCAGGTCTCCCGTGAGCTATGTTTGTTCTGTTGTTGTCGTTGTCTGACCCCTGCACTCTGCCCTTCCTCTCCCTCCCCTCCTCCCAGACTGAACAAGCCCTTTGTGGACTATGGGGACACAGTGATGTATGGCCTGGAAGCCACCCCCATCTCCTGGCTCCGGAACAACGCCCACTGGGGAAGGTAATGGGTTTCCTTTTTCTTTGCGGCTGTGGCCACCAGGTGTGGAGGCCTTCAGATAGGGAGGTGAGGTGTGGGAGACAGTGCAGCTCGTGGGAAGAGCATTGCTTGGGTCTGTGGACTTGAATTCTAGCTTAGCTCTGCCAGTGGTCATTTGTGTGACCCTGGGCTGTGTGACCTCTCCTTTCCCTGGGCCTCAGTTTCCTCATTGGTAAAACTTGGGGCCTGGCCTGAAAGATATTGAAGGGCTCTCCCAGCTTTGACAGCCTGTGACCAGTGATTATATTTCATCCCCTTGTTTGGTCAACAGATATATTTAAGCATACTCTTATAAGTGGTACAAAACAATTTTAGGTATAGGGAGGGGGGTTTCCCTGAGGGATATTATGTAGTCCTGGCCCTCCAATAGACGGAGAAAGATGCATGGGAATCTTGAGAACAAGAGATCAGGAAAAGGATATACCAGTAGAGAGAGTCATGAGCTAGAAATACACCGCAGGAGCCCTGAGAGGGAGGAGCCCTAAAGACGCTCTTGTCCGCCGTGGCAGATGAGAAGCGCACGTGATAGGAGCTTTCGGGTCAGGGTACTGGGCAGGAGAAGGAAGGCTTCAAGGAGGAGGTGAGGTGAGCCAGAACAAATGGGTTTGTTAGGGA